AGAGCAATATCAGCGCCGGCAGATGATGGTTGACTCCACACATCCTCGACCCACACCACTCTCTGTCAGTCCTTCTGAAACTCCAGATTCAGCAGATACAGTTACAGGTATTCCTCTTGAGCTTGAGCCTGTTATGTTTTCTGATGATAATATTTCTGTCCCTAACACCATTATTGCAGCTGATCCCACTGACATTGATCTTCCCATTGCACTACGTAAGGGGAAGAGAAAGTGTACAGCCCACTGCATTTCACACAATCTTTCCTACAGTGCCTTATCACCCTCCTACCGTGCTTTTCTTTCTTCCTTGGATTCTGTGTCTATACCCAGGAATGTTACTGAGGCTCTCTCCAAACCTGAGTGGAAAACAGCCATGCAAGATGAGATGGATGTTTTGGTAAAAAACCAAACTTGGGAAATAGTTGATCTCCCCCCAGACAAGGAGACAGTCGGATGTCGATGGGTATTCACAGTTAAGTATAAGGCCGATGACAGGATAGAGAGGTACAAGGCAAGGTTGGTAGCAAAAGGGTATACTCAAACCTATGGTGTTGATTATCTGGAAACCTTTGCACCAGTAGCTAAGATGAGTTCAGTTCGTATCATTTTATCTCTAGCAGCCACCTATTCATGGTCCTTGTTCCAACTTGATGTAAAAAATGCTTTCCTCAATGGTGACTTACAGGAGAAGGTATATATKGACATTCCAGCAGGCTTTTATGAAAATATTGGTAAAGGAAAGGTGTGCAGACTCAGAAAATCTTTGTATGGACTGAAACAGTCACCTAGGGCTTGGTTTGACAGGTTCAAAGGGGCACTCATCCGTTTTGGATACACACAGACACAGTCTGATCACACCCTCTTTGCAGCAAGAATTTGAGATCAAAAATCTTGGTGAGCTTAAATACTTCTTAGGGATTAAAGTTGCAAGATCCAAGCATGGGATCTTCATTTCACAGAGAAAGTATGTACTTGACCTACTGCGAGAGACTAGGAAGCTGGGGACCAAACCAGCAGACACTCCTATTGATCCAAATCAAAGAATTAATGGTGTGGATGGTGAATTGGTAAAAGATGTGAGGAGATATCAAAGAATGGTGGGCTGACTACTATATTTGTGTATGACATGACCAGATATTTCTTATGCTGTCAGTGTTGCGAGTCAGTACATGCATGCACCTCAGGTTCAACACTGGGAAGCTATTGAGAGAATACTTGCATATCTGAAAAAGCAGCCTGGTAGAGGCATTCTTTTCTCAAATCATGAGAATCTGAAGCTAGAATCCTATACAGATGCAGACTGGGCAGGATGTTTAGATGACAGGAGGTCTACATCAGGAGTGTGTACCTTTGTAGGTGGGAACTTGATCTCCTGGAAGAGTAAGAAGCAAGCGGTTGTGGCAAGGTCAAGTGCAGAGGCTGAGTATAGAT